GGTCCTTGGCCAGCACGACATTTGAGAAAAAGGCTCCTCAGGTGGTTGGACTCCTGAGGCTCCAACACTCACGCCATCATCTCCCTTTCCTGGCCTGACCCACAGACGCTGTCAGCTCTGTCTCTTAACTTTTTAGATTAAATAAATTGGTTTCCATCCCCAATGCCTGGACTTGTAACTTTGTCCCCACATGGGGAGGGAGGCTCCCACCTGTGCTGGAGGGTCATCGCTGTCTGGTATAACATTGAAGGCTGGCCACCCACATGCCCAGAGCCCTACATTCCAAGTCAGCCAGCCTGGCTGGTGGGGCTGAGTTTCCCAGTGAGCAGAGTGTGAGGGGGCTTCTGGGGAAAGTCACTAGAGGCATGACAGGAAACTGGCACCATAGCTGGTCTTGGCAGGCCCTGCTGTGGGGGTGAGGGGTACCAGCCTCGGCCTCTTGGTTTGGTGGGGATAGATGTCTCCCCAGCTCACCCAGGCAAGGCCAAGGGCAGGTAAGGAAGAATCCCCCTAGGAAGATGTGTTAGAGTTCTTCAGAGGAATAACCAGTAGGAGATGGCTTATATATCTATGTATATATATATATATATATATACACACATATATATATAAACAGGATTTATCATGTTTTATGTATGTTGCAAAACTCATATCATGATTTATCATGAGAAATTGGCTCACAATTATGGTATCAAGCAGGCAGGCTGGAGACCCGCAGAGAACAAGTATTTTGATTTGAAGGCCATCAGGCAGGAAGAATTGATGTAGGCAAGTGAGGCCTGAAAGTAGGCTGATGGATAATCCTGTCTTACTCTGCAGAGAGTCAGTCTTCTATTCAGGCCTTCAACTGCTTCAGTGATGCTCACCCACATAAGGAGGACAATCTGCTTTATTGATTAAAATGTTAATTTGAAGGAAGAAAAAAGAAAATGTTAATTTGGTCTACTGATGTACATGTAACTTTCATACAAAAACACCCTCGCAGAAATAGTATCTGGTCACCCCATGGCCCAGTCAGGTTGACTTAAAATTATCCATCATCAGAGGCCCACAAGATCAGAGGAGCTGCTGAGGGTCAGAACCTTTTCTGGGGCCAAGAGGGCTCACATTTGTTTGATGAACAAATTACTGAGCATGAGGACAAGGCCCCTTGCCTCCAGAGGTTCACACTCACACACACCTGAGTGAGTATGTCAGAGGAACAAGACTGGGCATCTGTAGGGTGGTGGTGGAGGGGGCATCCAGGTGAAGTGATGGGAGGGGACCAGGAGAGCCCCTGGGCAGAGGTTTTCCAGGAATTGCATTACAAGGTCTCAACTCTGGTTCATTTCTTTCCTCTGGGCCCACTTAGAACCAAAGCCCTGTGCAAATGTGATGGGTGAAGGGAACACTCTGGGGACAAGGACATGGCCTTCCAAATCTACAGGAGACAGAAAAAACAGCAGTTAAGGCTTTTGCCTTAAGACTACAGCAGTTAGGGCTTCCCCAGTGGCTCAGTTGTAAAGAATCCACCTGCCAATGATGGAGACACAGAAGACTCAGATTCGATCCCTGGGTTGGGAAGATCCCCTGGAGGAGGAAATGACAACGTGCTCTGGCATTCTTGCTTGGAAAATGCCACAGACAGAGAAGCCTGGTGGGCTACAGACCAGGGGGTCACAAAGAGTCGGACACAACTGAGCATGCATGCACACAGGGGCAAGACCACATTCCTTTGTCCCTGTCAGGGTGGCCTCCAGAGTCCCAGTCACTCCCCATGTACCAAGTGCCCAAGGCCCTCATGAGGCCTGGAGTTCCTGCAGGGCCCCCCTAGGGCATGAGCCCCTGGAACCCCATGCTGGTGGGTAGAAGCATGAGTGAGCTATGGGCCTTGCCTGGCAGAGTACTTGGCAGTGCAGGGAGACCCTGGCACCATCACTCTGGGGGAAACATGTCCTGGAAGAGATGGTCGCACAGGCCACACATCTGCCTAGGACCAAAGCCTCTCCTTGACTGTGCCCTTCAAGTCAAGGTCAGTCTCACTGTTGGAGCACCTCCCGTGTGTCAGGTGTCTACCAATAAGATGAGGGGGTCTTGCTGCTCCCACATGTGCCCTGGTCTGGGGTTTGGAGAAAGCCAGAAGGTGGTTCCAAAATAAGGAATCACCTATCACAGTCTCGGAGGAAACACAGGGATCCAGATGAGCTTTGTAACAAGCTTTGTGCTACCCTGTGAAGAACACACTGGGTTTCAGCCAGCAGGTCTGTGAACCTTGATTCCAACCACCAAAGGCCAGAGATGGGGAATTGTGGCAGAGCCACACAGGCCCAAGAAGGGGTGTGATGTGGGGAGAACACTATGAGGTGTTTTGTATCCTGCAGGAAGTGACACCTGGAGAAATCCCTGCCAGTATGAGGACACCTAAGCAGAGCAGGACAGAAGAAGAGCTTGCAGCTGGTGGTGAGGATGCGAGAGGTCCAAGAAGACCTCTTTCTTGGCCTGAGGGGCAAGTCTTTGTGGTCTAGTACATTAAGAGTCGAGAGTGGGATTTCCCTGGTGGTCCAGTGGGTTAAGAATCCGCCTGCCAAAGCAGGGGACGTGGGTTTAGTCCCTGGTCTGGGAAGATTCCACATACTGTGGGCAACTTAGCCTGTGTGCCACAACTACTGAGGCTGTACTTTAGAGCCCAAGAGTCACAACTACAGAGCCCACACATCTAGAGCCTGTGCTGTGCAATGAGAAGTCACTGCAATAAGAAGCCCTCACTTGCCGCAACTAGAGAAAAACCCACGTAGCAATGAAGGCCCCCACAATCAAAAATAAAGAAAAATTTAAAAAAGAAGAAAAAATAAAAATAAAAAAAGAAGAGTTGAGGGCTTTAGAAGTCTCTCCCTGAGTATATTAAGGCCCTATAATCTGTGAGACTCAGGCTACACCCAGTGCAGGGGGACACGCCTTGCCCTTAAAGAACACAGACAGGATGATAAGACAACCACCTGCAACCCTGCAAAGTAGGTGACAAGGTCCTGTGGGATTCTGAGGGAATTACAGTCTGGGAGAGAGAGCTGCTGACACCTTGATGTCTCCTGGCTTTGGGGGCCTCCTGGGTTGGCCTCCATCATTCATTCAGTGGCACTGAATCCCCCTGAGTACAGGCAACCCTTCTCTCACTCATCCTTCTTTCAGCTCACCTGATCCCTCTGACCTGCCTGGCAGGGTAGGTCTCCCTTCCTGGCTTTACACTTGAGAAGGTAAATCCAGAATTTCAAAGTAGAAATTGGATCCCTTCAATTTCCTGTCTGCCTTTTGTCACCTTTTTCTCTGGGAATTTTTAAGAGTTGTGAGAACTAACAGAAAGTTCAGGAGCAGACATAGACCGGTGACCTGAGTTCCAGGCAAATGCCAATGAAACAGGAAAGGAAAGGTACAATTTCTACATCAACTGTTAATTCAATAGATGTTTACCCTTCACCCACTCTGAGCTAGACGCGTTTCAGGGACCGTCTGAGTCCTTGTGAGGTCTCGGGATGTTGGGTGAAGACAGAGTACACTACAGGAAGGATGTTGGAAGTGACAGACAGACCTAAGTTTTGAATCCTGGACAAGCCCCTCACCTCCGGGAGTATATGGTTTTCTGTGAGCCAGGCCAATGTTCCTGGCAGGGATGAGGCCCGCTCCAGTTATGGAGGCAGTGCATGCAGAGTCTGACAGGCGGCATCAGAACTACCGTGAGAATCTTCTCCGTTATGCGTGAGACCTCTGATCCGCACCTGCGCCCTGGACACGTGGCCTTTGAAACGTCCTGCACACAAGGCACAGAAGAGTATTTGGGCAGGATCGCCAGGCCCCGCCTGGAAGGGGGCGTGGCTGGCCGGGAGCGCGCTCCTGGGCTAGTCCCGCGAGACCTCACCCACCGGGCGCGGCGCGCGTTGCCCAGGCGACCGTGCTAGGGCGCGCAGGCGCAGTGTAGGCGTGCCCCGCCCCCGCCGCCGCCGCCGCCGCCGCCGCGTCTTCCCCTTTAAGCCCCAGCCGGTCGCGTCGCCGCTTCATGAATGGAGCCCACGTGACCAAACATCATGTGACGTCTGTGGAGCGGCGGCGGCGGTGGCTGTGGCGGCGGTGGCGGCGGCGGCGGCGGAGAATCCCGAGCCCCGAGCCTGGTCCAGCCCGGCCTTCCCAGCGCGCTCGGCGCGGCCCGCGCAAGCGGCGAGCCCCCACTCTGGGCCTGGAGTACTCGCTCGGCCAGCCCAGCGCGGCCTCGGAGTGCCCGCCCCGCCCCGCCCCGGCCTCGGCCCGCCGGGCCCGCAGTGTGGTGGGTGAGTGCGGCGGCGGCCGGGCTAGGGCCGGACGGTGGGTGGCCGGGGATTCCAGGCCGGGGACGGGTGCTCGCGGGGCTGCGGCTCCTCCCGGCGGCGCGGGCCGGGTACTTCGGTCTTTGGGTCTGCCTGTGCCCTGCTGGCGGCCCGTGCCTCGATTTCCCCACCGGTCAGGAGCGGTTCCTGGCCCCTGAGCCGGGGGTGCTGGGGTGGGCGCAGGGGCTCTCGGGGGGCAGGCGGGGCGTGTTCTGGGCTGGTTAGGTAAAGCCGGGGCGTCCTGGAGGGAGGGGCGGCCGGGGTGGCGGGAGGAAAGGGTGGGGTCGAGCAGGGCGCCCAGGGCTCCGCGGAAGAGCTCGGCGGCCCCGGTCTGAGCTGCTGATTCATCAGGTGTCTGTGTCAAGGCTTTCCTGGCGCGGGGTCTTTGGCAGGCTGGGGGGAGGAGGCGGCACGTGGGGGGGGCTGGGAAGACCCTGCCCGCGCCGGCTTCGCTCCGTCACACGCGTGCCAGAGCCCAGAGGGAGACTTGCTGAGTCATCAGCATGAGGTCACTAGATGCTCGTCCTAATGCCTGGGGGGATTTGAGCTAGGGGCCTGAGAGGCCGGGAAACGAGCGGTGAGAAGGAAACCGTGGGAAGTGAGAAGGGGCCAGGCCCAAGGCTGGGGCGCCAGCTTAAGTTTAGACTGATACGTGAGTTTACGATAGGAGGGTGAGGAGTAAACGGAGCGGTCACGGTGCGGGTTATCCCAGGGTAGAGGGTGAAGCCCCTGGTCTGTCTATCCCCTCCCAGGCAGGCATTTCTCAGGCTGCTGGTCCCTGACCCGCCTCTGGGACAGTTCCCCAAACTGGGAAATAGTTCTGAGAAGAGGGGAGGAGCTTAGGGGGGGCCGTCCTAGCAGGCTGGGAAGTAGGCTTTCCCTATGGCTGGTGTGGTTGGCCAGGCCGGGCTGCCTCAGGTGGGAAGACTTGAGGCAGTGGGAGAAGGAGGGGTGCCTGCACTTGAGTCCTCGGTGACAGTGGACAGTTCAAGGGGCAAGTCGGTGCAGCTCTACCAGGAAATTGCAAAGGAGAGGAAGCAGAAGGACTTAGACTTCAGGGGAGTGAGGTGTCTGGTGAGCAGGCTTTGGCTTTCTTCACAGCCTTGCCTTGGGGTCTGAGTGGTGGTAACTTTGAGGGTGCCTAGCCTTCAGGGCATAACAAGTGGACTGGTGTGGATGGCAGGAGTTGACGAATCCCAGTCACCCCAGAGTGGTTCCACTTGAGGTTGGGGCTCAGTACTGTGCAGGTTAGCGAAGAACGTGGCCCTGCTGGGTGTCAGGCCAGTGGTAGGGAGGGACTCCTGAGCAGTGACAGCCTGAGGGTGGTTTCTCAGGGTTAGGGGAGCACTCCATCTAGACCAGAGCTGACTGCTCTTGCCCAGGGGTTCATGGCTAGCCAAGGCTGACCTTGTGGTTTGTCCTCCTTCCTGTCCAGCCCTGGGCTTATAGATGCCAGGTGTTTTAACACTTCAGCTGATCTTTTGGCTGGAATTCTATGCCCCAGGAACGTGTAGATTCTTCTTAGCTACTTATGCTCTGGTCGAAATTAAGTTTTAGACTTTACAAAGGGCTTCTGGAGAAGGTTGGTCCAAAGGGCAGGGTGGGAGTGCAGTGGGCTAGGTGAGGGTGCCAGAGTGACCAAGGCCAAACCTGCCAGGGCAGTTTGGCCACTGGTGTTTGCGATCAGGAGAAGGAGCAGGGGTGGAGTGGCCTCCTGTCTGCTGTCCACACCCGGGAAAGAGGATGGAGCTCTCCCCTTTCTGGCTGGCTCTCAGCTTGAATGAGTGGCCCTGAGTACCTTGGTGGATCCCTGCCTTTGGGACCACTCATGCCTTCTCCACAAGGTGTGCTCAGCCTTAGCGGAAGCAGAGACGAGAAACAGGGTAAAGGTTCTCGTTGATCTGGCCTCTGAAATCCCCTCCCTCTGGTTTCTTGTGGTGCCCTGAGCCATCAGTCCCATCCCTTGCCCAAAAGCTGTCTCCGTCCCAGCAGTGTGAGTCTGCAGGTAGCGGAGACCAGGCCAGGAGGTCGGAAGCCCCTGCTTTGCTAAGACCCGCCCCTCCCCCTCACGAGCTGCGCACTGGCACACCTTTGATTAGGAGGCGATTGGCTACACTTGTGCTGAGTTCAGGGCTTCTGTGGAGGGTGAAATCTGCCGAGAAGGCACTTTTCAGCTCCCAGCCGCCATGCTCGGCACTTTTCTGTGTGATCTCTTCAGGAAGTCACCGTATGCTCAGCATTTGGGGGTGGGGGGAGGATGGCGCGTGGGAAAAGCTGGTGCCAGGGCTTTTCCTTCATGCTGACAGTGGCAGGACCAACTCAGTGACTCTGGACCCAGACTCAGAGCTGGGGGAGCCCTTCTGGCTCCACCTGGAGGACCTGGTTCCTGTGGTAGACGTGGGGCCCTGAAGACCTTGTGACCTCCAGCTCCTCTGCTCTGGAAGAGCAGTGGCACCATAGCCTCTCCAGGAGGGCACCACAGTCCTGGTCAGGCCTCCATTTACTTCCCTGCATCTAACCTGAAAGGTCACGGAGGGATCAAGGGGACAGAGGTGGTCCAGCTGAGCCAGGAATCCCAGGACTCAGTGGGGAGAAATGTGCTTGGCAGGGCTGCAGAAAGTGAGGGCAGGATGCAGAAAAGATGACCAAGTGGGTGGGTGAGGGGGCCCTCTGGGTTTTGTTCCCTGCCCTGTGGGTGGGGACCCCAACCAGGGAGCCATAGAATAGTCACTGGCCAGAAAGGGTTGAGCAGGCCCCTGGGGGGTCAGTTGTGGGCACTCTTGTGAAATACCCTGGATGGGGTGGGGCAGGGGCACAAAAAGCTGCAACCAAAGCCACAGGATGGTTACTCCATCGGCAGCAGAGGTGGACAAAGAGGGCGGAGGGGCATGGGGCCGGGCTCCCCTGGCAGGAGTGTCTGCTGCCAGGGGGGTGGGGAGCTCCCACCGGTGCTAAAGACAAAGTCAGAGCGGCTTGGACAACTCTGCTTGCTACTCTTCAAAGTGAACAGTCTAGGAGAATTGGCAGTCTTCTGCATCCTCCCCTCTGCTTCAGTCCCCAGTGGGGACAGCCCACTGAGCCTTCACGGGAGCAGGGCTTTGTCCCAGGCGGCTTAGGGGAGGTAGAACCCTGGCCCCGACCCTCACCTGCTGTTGGCCAGGCTGGCCTTCACCGCCCCAGCAGCTTGCTGCTGCCAGTCCCCTGGGGCTGTGTTGGCTGGCAGCCTCAGGGAGTGCCAGGCCGGTGAGAGAGCAGAGAGCGGGAGCGATGTGCTGAGTCAGCATGACTCGCCAGGAACAGCCATGCTCTGGGGCGCACTGGGGTTATTTTTAAAGCTCCCGGCTTCCTTCTAGGCTGGCCCCTCCCGCACCCTTCTAATCTCTACCCCTCCACTCCCAGCCCCTTTACTTGCCTCCCTAATAGCCCTTCAGTTCCCCTTCCCCCATCTGAGCCTCCTAGCCTCCCACCTAGTTCCCTAGGGGCAGGGTGGACAGGGAGCAACCCAGCTCTGGAGAGCCCAGGTATCAAAGGGAAGGGGCAGGCAAGGGGTGAGGCTGGGGGGGGCGGGGCGGGGCTGGGTGTGTTCCCCTGGGTAGACAGAGGGTTTCAGGGGGGCTCAAGGCTCTGTGTGGATTGGGGAGGGAAAGGGTGTGGTCTCCAGGGTCCTGACCTTCGCTCCCTGTCTCGCAGAGTGCCTGCTTGCTGTGCCCCCCGGGTTATGACGACCCCCAATAAAGGAAACAAGGCCTTGAAGGTGAGCAGATAGGGTGGGCAGCGTCTCAGGGCTGGGATGGCACAGGGGTGGATGGCCTCCACTTGGCCCACGACCTCGTGCACTGTGCCCTCCCCAGGTGAAGCGGGAGCCGGGAGAGAATGGCACCAGCCTGACGGACGAGGAGCTGGTGACCATGTCGGTGCGGGAGCTGAACCAGCACCTGCGGGGCCTGTCGAAGGAGGAGATCATCCAGCTGAAGCAGCGCCGGCGCACACTCAAGAACCGCGGCTATGCCGCCAGCTGCCGTGTGAAGCGGGTGACCCAGAAGGAGGAGCTGGAAAAGCAGAAGGCGGAGCTGCAGCAGGAGGTGGAGAAGCTGGCCTCTGAGAACGCCAGCATGAAGCTGGAGCTCGATGCCCTCCGCTCCAAGTACGAGGCCCTGCAGAACTTCGCCAGGACCGTGGCCCGAAGCCCTGTGGCGCCAGCTCGGGGTCCCCTTGCTGCTGGCTTGGGGCCCCTTGTCCCCGGCAAGGTGGCTGCCACCAGCGTCATCACAATAGTAAAGTCCAAGACGGACGCCCGGTCGTAGGGACACACTTGGCCAGGCGGGTCTGCAAGGGGCCAGTAGGCGCATGGCAAATTCGGCAGCCCTGTCCCCTTCTTCCTCCCTCCTCTTCCTCTTCTCTCCTTTTCCTCCTCTCCTACCTCCTCCCTTCCCTGCAAAGCACAACCTGCACCCCAGGGGCGCTGGGCTGAGCCCCTTTGATCTCGTCTTTGTCATCGTGTGTTTTGTACGTTGAGATTGGTCAGTTTGGCGGTGACGTGGGGTCGCCCCCGCCCCCTGTGTACCACGGGCAAGTGGGCTTGGAGTCCAGAGTCAGCCTGTGGGAGTGGACAGAGGAAAATCAAGCAGGTTCTCTGGGGCATGTTCCCCCGAGCACGGAGTGCTACAGGGCAGGAGAGGCTGTTCTCACTATGGAGTGACCCACAGGCTCTGACGGCCACCGGGTTAGCAGGAGGCCAGGAGGTTCACTCTCAGCCCAGCCCGCAGGCCTAGACGGGATCGGCTGTCCCCGAGGGCCCTGGACAGGCGGGCCACCAGTCTGGCGCTAGGGGGGATGGGACGTCGTCTGGCTGTGGGCCAGGGGCCTTGGCACTCACGCCTGACGTGTTGCACTGAACAAGACCAAATCACTGGTTGTGAGCGTGAAGGGTGTGTCCAGTGTCCTTCGATGGGTCCCGTGTCACTGTTTACATGACCTGTTTGTGTGGTTACATAGCCCTTTATTTAAAAGAGAGAAGTTCCTTTTACGAAGTTATTAAATTATATGTTTAAAAGCTAGAGAAAAAAAAAAGCTGCAGAGTATTTATAAAACTGTCTTTTTAAAAAAAAAAGCAAGAACATTTGACCATATACATGGAAAAGGGAAGAAAGTATAATAGAAACTTTGCTAGTTTAAAAAAAAGAAAAAAAAAATCCTTTCTTGTAAACTTACAGACAAGTCTTTGTGGCTGTTGGAGTTTAGTTTTTATATACACAGAGTTATCAGACATTATTTATAAAACTTAGTTTAAAAAAAAAAGACAAAAAAAAGCCAAGCCGCGAGCGACCAGAAGGCGCGTCCTGACGTCCTCTTTGCTATCTCTTTTGCAATTGTACCGAAAGTGACTTACTCCCTTGCCCCTTCCTGCTTCCGTCTCTTGCCGGTGCCGTGGTGTCGTCCGTGCCTGGTGAGGTCTTGTGCAGCGTCACGTGCTGGTGCTTCTGGTGACCTTTGACCTGTGGGTGTCACTTCTTGTGTCTGTTCTCCCGTGTTTGTTTTTTTGGATTTGGTTGTGGTTTTGCTTCCGCTGACTTGTCAGGCCCAGGCTGTTGTGCCGGGCTGCACCTGCTCCAGTGGAGCTTGGGGGTCTGCACCGCCAGCCCTGCCTCTTCTGCTTTGGCACTCACCTTGAGCCCCAGGACGGAGGGGTCAGTTGCAGGGTTCTGCCATACCCCAGGCTGACCCTTGGCTTCGCATGTGTGTCTCAGGCTTGGGCTGATCCAGCGGCAGTGTAGGTGAAAATGGGGGCTATCCTGGGCGCCCCACCCCACTGCTCCCCGCACTACTTCCTTATTCTTGGCCTCTGGCCCTGGGTGGGGGCTCGAAGGGAACAAGGAGTCACTGTGGGTGCCCACCAGGCCAGGGCCAAGCTGCCCCTGGCTGTCTTCCTTCTGGCCTTCAGTCACCGTGTTTGGGCTCCAGCCACCAATCAGAGATTTGTTCCTGTGGGTTTCAGGTGGGCCTCAGCAGGGGAAGCCCAGGGACCCACTGCCCACTTATCCCAGAGCTGTTTCCATGCTGCGGGACGGTGCTTCCCAGGCAGAGCCAGGTGGTTTCGGGGCCCACCTGGAGCAGCCCCTTCTCCTTGCCTGAAGGCCTGGGGGTCCCCACCAGTGCCAGACAAGGGCTATGGTCTCCGAGGCCAAGTCCTGTCCCTCTTCTCCCCCTGACCATGCTGGCAGCTCTTGGCTTTGGGCCTTCTTTCACCGCCCTTTGGGGTCTGTGTCTTCCAGGGATCCACTGCTCAGCTTGTGGAGGTGCTTCCCCAGGGCTGAGCCCACCTTCCCGTCATGGCAACTCAGTGAGGCAGCCAGTCTCAGACTTGGCTTGGGCAGCTGCTTGTAGGCACATGATGGGGGGCTGTCTGTGGTGCCTGCCCCGCCCCCCAAGAGGCTGCTCCCCTGGCTCTGGCCATGTGGGGTTTGGCTACTACTTGGGTTCGCTGGCTGGCTTCTCTGGGGGCCCTGAACCCCTTGAAAAAGCACAGAAGTGGGCTGGTGAAAAGAAAAACAATGTGACCTGGCAGAGTTTAACCTTATAGACAGTAGAATCTTCATCCCAGAGTTTGATGCAGCATGCCTAAACTCTGGGGAATTTGGGCTGTCTACTTCTGTTGTCTTGTTGGGCTTGATCTTGACCCTAGACACTCAGAGACATTCCTGGCTATACCCAGGTTGGCTTGCAATGGAGATTTTGACCATTGACTCTGAATCACTTAGTGGCTTCCTTTCGCTCCCTGCAGTCTGGCTTTGTCTACCTAAGGTCCAGAAGAGAGTGGTTGATGTTGTTTGTAGCAGCAAGTTGGAATCACATCATAAGAATCCCTAAAGAGAGATCATGCCCTGTCCTGGACAAGGGGAGGGACAGGCTCTCCGTGTCCAAGTACAGTCCCCACTTTTGTTCTGGAGGTGGAGCCTCTATCTCTGTGCACTCCTGTCATGCTGTAGACCTGGAGAGAGGAAGGTTTGAGGGTGGGCATGTGCTGAACAGAATTACAGGTTCTTGGTTTGGTTTACAGACACGTCTGGATTTAGTGAGGCTATGCTTCCTTTTGAGGTTTTTGGATTTGGAGCGACTCTTCCTTGGATCTGGGGAGCATCTTGCTCCCATTAAGCCAGCCTCTTGGGGCTTCTCTGCCCCCCCCCCCCCAATTTCATTTTGGTCCTTGACAGTAGATCCTGTGTCCACATGTGGCTGTTTGGTGTCTTTTTGATTCTCGTTAATTCATTTTTCCTACTGTGAGTGTGTCGTGTTCTCTTTCTCCTCAACTTTTTGACACAGCGAATTGAGGACTTTGGCTCAGGCCAAGTCTCCCAAACTTGTCCGCTAAGTAAACCATAATGTGCACCTTCCTACACTTTGCCCTCGCCCAGTCTTCCCTTATCCCAACATGGACACTCAGATTTCAGAGGCGAACCCTTTGGGAACAGGTCAGCTCCTGCCCAGAGTTATGGCTCCAGGGAGCCCTCCACGGGGCTCTTGGCCACTGCTCCAGGTTGCACTCACTGTGTTGGAGAAGCTATGGCTGCTGGGTGGTGTGCTGGTTTCTGCCAGGTGCCAGGTCTCCCTGGAGGCTTTTGTATTCTTGGTCCAGGCCTCCAGGTCTGGGCACAACCCTGACCATCAGCAGCAGCCTCAGTGGTCAGTGCCTGGGCCTGCAGCTCTGATCCACTGCAGCCTGCTTTGGGACAGATGGTCAAGTCCCATCGTGTCACTGCTGCTTCCCTCTCTGGGGTGGCCGGTTGGCCAAAGCTTCTGTCCACAGCTGGAAAGCCACAGCCTGCAGCACTGTTTCCGCTCTAGGATCTTCTAAGTTACTTTTTTAGGCTGTGGTTTGGTGAAAGGAACCAACACATTAACGATTTTTTCCCCCAGAAGCCACCGAATAATTCTTCCTGGCAGGTTTTTGCCTTCCTGTTAGCTGTCTGGTTTTGAAACCGATGGGAAGAGGCAAGGGTGTGCCCTGGAGGCTGGTAGCTTGTCTTGCTCTGGTCTGTGTCCTGAGCATGTGCTATACTTGTTGGACCAGTGGCACACATTTCCACCCCACCCTGGAGCAGCAGCCTTGGTACGTGGGTGTCCCTCCAGTTTGAGCTGGAGTGTTAGGAGAGCCGTCCCTAGTGACCTGTGAAGGGGGACTCCTCTTAACAACCTGTGTCCCAGCCCCACCCTCTCCACATCCCCCAAACTGCTAGTCCCTGAAGCCTTTAACCAAACGGGAGTGGGTACAGAAAACCTTCTCCTGGCATCTTAGGGCAGCAGGATAAGGGCTGTCCAGTGTGTCCAGCTCTGCTGCTCTCCTGGCACTGAGAAGGTGGGCTGAGCAGAGTTGATCAGATCCTAACTGCCTAAGGCTAAAGACAGGAAGTGGGGGGGCCGGGGGTACGCTGGGATCTGCCGGGGCGGGCGGGGGTTGTTGAAGATCCAGGTGGGGAAGGACCTCACTGGGGCACCCTGGCTGACCTGGGCGGCCGTGGCCTCGTGCTCTCCCTGCCCTGTGCAGTATTTATTGCTAAATTATTGTCCAGGAGGGGCGGCACTGGGCCAGGCCCCGGGTATTTATTGCTGTACATAGTGTATGTTTGTGATATATAAGGTTTTCTTTATTTTGTATATGATCAATAAACACCTTTTAAAGAGACTGGCAGGTGTTTCCTTGGGGCAACGCGCGGGCGGGGCGGAAGGGCGGGGCGGTTCTTGCGCGCATGCGTTGGTGCGTGGCCTGCCGGGAGGCGGAAGCGGAAGCGCGAGTCTCCTTAGGAGCGATGGCTGCCGGGGGTCTGAGCCGGTCCGAGCGCAAGGCAGCGGAGCGGGTACGGAGGTTGCGAGAGGAGCAACAGAGAGAGCGCCTCCGCCAGGTACGCCGCCGCCCGCCCCGCGCCGCGTCCCCAGCCCGCGCCGCCCTCACCGCCCGCCCCGCGCCTGCAGGTGTCGCGCATCCTGAGGAAGGCGGCGACCGAGCGCAGCGCCGAGGAGGGCAGGCTTCTGGCCGAGAGCGAGGACCTGGTGACCGAGCTGCAGGGCCGGAGCAGGCGGCGCGAGGGCCTGAAGCGGCGGCAGGAGGAGGCAAGTCCCGGGCGCGGGCGGACTGGGCGGGCGCGCGGGCGGGCCGGGGCCGGCTCACGACCGGCCTCGGTGTCTTGGCAGGTGTGCGACGACCCGGAGGAGCTGCAGAGGAAAGTCCGGGAGCTGGCCAGCGCCGTCCGCAATGCCAAATACCTGGTCGTCTACACGGGCGCGGGGATCAGCACGGTAGGGACCCGAGGCGGGGACGACTGCGCCCTGGATCGGCTCCCAGGTCCTGGGAAACGGATTGCTGGAGCTTGGGCAGGCGAGGGGCGCCCCCTTCTGGGTGTCTGACTCCAGCACTGAGCACAGTATTCTGTTAAGCAATGGTACCGATTTGCAAAAGCCTTCCTGTAAAAGCGCCTGCTGAGCGTCTTTACTTTTTTAGAGAAACTCGAAATGACTCCATTTGGATCTTCGTTAAGTAGATAGACGTTTTAAAATATTTGAAGTTTGCATTATACTCAGTTAAGAGACAGGAAAGGAAGAGTGATAAAAACAGGACTTGATCGTTTGGTGCTTGTCCGAAGGCTGTGTGGGCAGAGCTAAGCCCTGAACTACCTTCATTCTGAAGGTTAAAGTAAGGTAAGTAGAACACAAGGCAATACACATTCGAGTGCACTAGATAAGGAAGGGAAATGCTATGGCTTTTGGTAAGTTTTATAGAGAAACTACCTGGGCATTCAAATGTGACTAGCTTGGATAGTGTGGATAGCACGTGCTTTAATTGCTGGGTGCAAGTTGAGTGTGACCTGCATGTAGGCCCAGCAGAGATGAATAAGCAAAGATTTCCATCAAGAATCCATAGGTGGTGATACTAAGCCGTATAAGCAAATGACTAATGTGAAGCTGGCTGTGCTAGGCCCCTAGAATGAAAATCCAAATACACCCTCTGGTTTCAGCTGGAAAACCCATCTGATTGTTTTTCTGTGGGAGGTGGCATGGCATTGAGTCTGGGCCTTGAAGGGTGGGTAAGATTTTACAGGCACTTGTGAAGTAAGACACTCCATGCAGGGATGACTGAAGAGGCCCAATAGCGAAAATGTGTAAGGTATGTTAACTGCTTTAACTTACTGACACCTGGAACCCTGGCACATGTGAACTCCTATCATGTGATTGTGTGAAAGCAGTGACATCACTTTTTTAAAGAATTGTAAGCAGCTTCTAAAACCACATGCTGTTCATTAATTTGC